CCCTTTTGAAAGTGGTGATGCTTATAATTATAATAGTTGCCTTCAAAGACGATATAAGTCGTCAATTTTTAAAAAATCACCTAGACGAGCTAAAAATCAGACCACTATGCTATTCCTGAGAAAAAGAAAATACCAGAATAGACGATAAAGATTTGAACCTTAGTTTTAAAAATTTTTCTTTAGTCGAGATGCAATACAGACCAGTTAATTAGTCCTTTTAGAAAGTGGTGATGCTTGTCATTATAATAGTTTCCTCAGAGACGATAAAAGTCGTCAATTTTGAAAATATCCACTAGACGAGCTGAAAATCAGACCACTATGCTAGTCCTGAGAGAAAGAAAATACGAGAATAGACGATATAGAACTGAACCTAAATTTTAAAAAATTTTCTTTAGTCGAGATGAAATACAGACCAGTTAATTAGACCCTTTTGAAAGTGGTGATGCTTATAATTATAATAGTTTCCTTCAAAGACGACATAAGTCGTCAATTTTTAAAAAATCACCTAGACGAGCTGAAAATCAGACCACTATGCTAGTCCTGAGAAAAAGAAAATACCAGAATAGACGATAAAGAACTGAACCTTAGTTTTAAAAATTTTTCTTTAGTCGAGATGAAATACAGACCAGTTATTTAGACCCTTTTGAAAGTGGTGATGCTTATAATTATAATAGTTTCCTTCAATGACGATATAAGTCGTCAATTTTTAAAAAATCCACTAGACGAGCTGAAAATCAGACCACAATGCTAGTCCTGAGAAAAAGAAAATACCAGAATAGACGATAAAGAACTGAACCTTAGTTTTAAAAATTTTTCTTAAGTCGAGATGAAATACAGACCAGTTATTTAGACCCTTTTGAAAGTGGTGATGCTTATAATTATAATAGTTTCCTTCAATGACGATATAAGTCGTCAATTTTTAAAAAATCCACTAGACGAGCTGAAAATCAGACCACAATGCTAGTCCTGAGAAAAAGAAAATACCAGAATAGACGATAAAGAACTGAACCTTAGTTTTAAAAATTTTTCTTAAGTCGAGATGAAATACAGACCAGTTATTTAGACCCTTTTGAAAGTGGTGATGCTTATAATTATAATAGTTTCCTTCAATGACGATATAAGTCGTCAATTTTTAAAAAATCCACTAGACGAGCAGAAAATCAGACCACTATGCTAGTCCTGAGAAAAAGAAAATACCAGAATAGACGATAAAGAACTGAACCTTAGTTTTAAAAATTTTTCTTAAGTCGAGATGAAATACAGACCAGTTATTTAGACCCTTTTGAAAGTGGTGATGCTTATAATTATAATAGTTTCCTTCAATGACGATATAAGTCGTCAATTTTTAAAAAATCCACTAGACGAGCTGAAAATCAGACCACAATGCTAGTCCTGAGAAAAAGAAAATACCAGAATAGACGATAAAGAACTGAACCTAAATTTTACAAATTTTTCTTTAGTCGAGATGAAATACAGACCAGTTATTTAGACCCTTTTGAAAGTGGTGATGCTTATAATTATAATAGCCCTCCCCCAGAGACGATATAAGTCGTCAATTTTGAAAATTTCCACTAGACGAGCTGAAAATCAGACCAAGATGCTAGTCCTGAGAGAAAGAAAATACCAGAATAGACGATACAGAACTGAACCTAAGTTTTAAAACTATTTCTTTAGTCGAGATGAAATACAGACCAGTTAATTAGTCCCTTTAGAAAGTGGTGATGCTTATAATTATAATAGCCCTCCCTCAGAAACGATATAAGTCGTCAATTTTGAAATCATCCACTAGACAAGCTGAAAATCAGACCACTATGCTAGTCCTGAGAGAAAGAAAATACCAGAATAGACGATAAAGATTTGAACCTTAGTTTTAAAAAATTTTCTTTAGTCGAGATGAAATACAGACCAGTTAATTAGACCCTTTAGAAAGTGGTGATGCTTATAACTATAATAGTTTCCTTCAAAGACGACATAAGTCGTCAATTTTTAAAAAATCACCTAGACGAGCTGAAAATCAGACCACTATGCTAGTCCTGAGAAAAAGAAAATACCAGAATAGACGATACAGAACTGAACCTAAGTTTTAAAAATTTTTCTTTAGTCGAGATGAAATACAGACCAGTTAATTAGTCCCTTTTGAAAGTGGTGATGCTTATAATTATAATAGTTGCCTTAAAAGACGATATAAGTCGTCAATTTTTAAAAAATCACCTAGACGAGCTAAAAATCAGACCACTATGCTAGTCCTGAGAAAAAGAAAATACCAGAATAGACGATAAAGATTTGAACCTTAGTTTTAAGAATTTTTCTTTAGTCGAGATGCAATACAGACCAGTTAATTAGTCCCTTTAGAAAGTGGTGATGCTTGTCATTATAAAAGCCCTCCCTCAGAAACGATATAAGTCGTCAATTTTGAAAATATCCACTAGACGAGCTGAAAATCAGACCAAGATGCAAGTCCTTAGAGAAAGAAAATACCAGAATAGACGATACAGAACTGAACCTTAGTTTTAAAAATTTTTCTTTAGTCGAGATGAAATACAGACCAGTTAATTAGTCCCTTTAGAAAATTGTGATGCTTATAATTATAATAGCCCTCCCTCAGGAACGATATAAGTCGACAATTTTGAAAATATCCACTAGACGAACTGAAAATCAGACCACTATGCTAGTCCTGAGAGAAAGAAAATACGAGAATAGACGATATAGAACTGAACCTAAATTTTAAAAAATTTTCTTTAGTCGAGATGAAATACAGACCAGTTAATTAGACCCTTTTGAAAGTGGTGATGCTTATAATTATAATAGTTTCCTTCAAAGACGACATAAGTCGTCAATTTTTAAAAAATCACCTAGACGAGCTGAAAATCAGACCACTATGCTAGTCCTGAGAAAAAGAAAATACCAGAATAGACGATGAAGAACTAAACCTTAGTTTTATAAATTTTTCTTTAGTCGAGATGAAATACAGACCAGTTAATTAGACCCTTTTGAAAGTGGTGATGCTTATAATTATAATAGCCCTCCCCCAGAGACGATAAAAGTCGTCAATTTTGAAAATATCCACTAGACGAGCTGAAAATCAGACCACCATGCTAGTCCTGAGAGAAAGAAAATACCAGAATAGACGATGAAGAACTGAACCTAAATTTTACAAATTTTTCTTTAGTCGAGATGAAATACAGACCAGTTGATTAGACCCTTTTGAAAGTGGTGATGCTTATAATTATAATAGCCCTCCCCCAGAGACGATATAAGTCGTCAATTTTGAAAACATCCACTAGACGAGCTGAAAATCAGACCACTATGCTAGTCCTGAGAGTAAGAAAATACCAGAATAGACGATAAAGAACTGAACCTAAGATTTAAAAATTTTTGTTTAGTCGAGATGAAATACAGACCAGTTAATTAGTCCCTTTAGAAAGTGGTGATGCTTATAATTATAATAGCCCTCTCTGAGAGACGATATAAGTCGTCAATTTTTAAAAAATCACCTAGACGAGCTGAAAACCAGACCACTATGCTAGTCCTGAGAGAAAGAAAATACCAGAATAGACGATAAAGAACTGAACCTAAGTTTTAAAAATTTTAATTTAGTCGAGATGCAATACAGACCAGTTAATTAGTCCCTTTTGAAAGTGGTGATGCTTATAATTATAATAGCCCTTTCACAGAGACGATATAAGTCGTCAATTTTTAAAATATCCCTTAGACGAGCTGAAAATCAGACCACTATGCTAGTCCTGAGAGTAAGAAAATACCAGAATAGACGATAAAGAACTGAACCTAAGATTTAAAAATTTTTGTTTAGTCGAGATGAAATACAGACGAGTTAATTAGTCCCTTTAGAAAGTGGTGATGCTTATAATTATAATAGCCCTCTCTCAGAGACGATATAAGTCGTCAATTTTTAAAAAATCACCTAGACGAGCTGAAAATCAGACCACTATGCTAGTCCTGAGAGTAAGAAAATACTAGAATAGACGATAGAGAACTGAACCTGAATTTTAAAAATTTTTCTTTAGTCGAGATGAAAAACTGACCAGTTTATTAGTCCCTATTGAAAGAGGTGATGCTTATAATTATGATAGCCGCCCCCCAGAGTCGATATGAGATGTCAATTTATAAAGTATCACGTATATCAACTTTGTCATATTTTTAAGTATCACCAATATCATCAGGGGAGCAAAAGTTTCCCAAAGCAGCAGTGTATTAACCAGCTGAGCAAAACCATAATTGATGTGATATTCCGCGATTTGAGGTTTCCAAACATATATAGGTTTATTCCGATATCTCAAAATTTACGTGGTTTTCGGGACGCTCAAATTTGGGTTTTTGAAATTTTCAAACGGCGTTATTTCGGGTTCGTAGAACTAAAATTTGGGTATGGTAATTAGTCAAGTCTTCCTTTAATAACTTTGCTTTTTGACGTAAAATTGTAGTTGACGGGTCAAGGTCATCGTGAGCGTGAATTGTACATAATATAAGTCAATAAGAGAGATTCGTGAGCTTCTGTTTTTTTTTTTAATAAATAATAAATGACCAAAAAATCTGGTTTTTAGCACTTTTTCAAGCTCTCGATCTTGAAAATTAATTTGGAACCCAAATAACTTTTTTCTGTTTTAAATACCTCACAACACCTGAGGACAAAAAGAATTTTCTCTAGTTGTTCTATCAGATCATGTATTGCACGTTGGGTAACTTAAAGTCATTGATCTCCATGACCCGTGACCTTTTTGGAAACTTTTCTCAATGTGTGACACATGATTTGAAAGAAAATATTTAGAGGAGCATTTTGGTACCCTCCGGCTCACCTACCAATCTACAAATATTGAAAAGTGCATGACGTGGTGACGAGGCCATCCCCAAAGTTTGACAACAAAGGGCGCCACCATCCAAGGTAGCGCTCTCTTGTGAGCGGCGCATTTTGTATAGTGCAGGGGTGAAAGAGGGTGGATGAAGAGAAGAGGGAGCGAGCAACACTCTGCGCGTGCGTGCCGATTTCGTCACAGCAGTGCTCGGGGTGTTTGCGAAAATCAATAGCGATGTCTACCCTCCATAGACTGTGCAAGGATTAGCCAAGAAGCAGCAGAAGAAAACTTTCCAAATCGCGTGAAAACAAAAATATAAACAGTGAGTTTTCTTGTCAACGTCTAACAATAGGGTTGTTGATCACTTTATTTCTATGCGAAATTGGTTTCAAACAGTCGAAAGGGGCGAAATTGGTTTAATAACGTGCGGATGAAATTTTAAGCCCCTTTGAGATTTAAGAAAACAGCCAGTGCAAAAATATTGTCGTTTTGTGAGGAGCATATTTCATAGTAACCACAAACAACTTTCACTTATAATTCATCAATGATTAAAGCTTGATTTTCGATGATGCTCAAATTTCGTAAAAACAATAAAGTAATAAATTTTAAATAAATTGCCCAAACCTATTTGTCCAGATTAAGAATTTGTCAGAATTCTTTGTGTAATTCGGCCACAGTTCATAGATAATATAAAAGTGATCAAGTTATTTTTTGTTATATTTTTCTTTTCAATGTGGTTTTTCATTTTTAATGAAATCCAGCATTACGAGTGTTACCATTCAACTTAGTTATTATTTAATTCATTTAACTCATTATCTCAAATTAACCCATTCTTGAAATAAATTGTGTTTATTAATTTCTGGGAGTCTGAAATTAATTTTAGATTGATTCTTTCTCAGCATGATGTCCATCTTGGAGGCGACTGCCGAGTTGCCCTTCAACTGGACGGGGTGCACGGGGTGTGTGGTGGACGCGCCACCCCCTGACACAATCCTGCAAATCCCGCCGCCGCCACTGCCCAGTTTCCTGCAGCTGGCGCCGTTGCTGCTCGAGCAAGGCGGAAATCTGAGCAACAGCCTCTACCTGGAGGAGCAGGAGGACCACTTCGTGCCGCCCTGCAACCCGCACTGCGACTGGTCAAACACCCCTGGGGTCGAGTACGTCGAACTCTCGCGCAAGGGCACCGTCAGCCTCGACGACACCTGGTTCCTCATCGTCGTCGGCTCCAGTGTCGCCGTCCTGCTGCTCGGCGCCCTGCTCGCCTTTGCACTGCTCAAGTGCAAACAGTAAGTTTCTAAAATATGCAATTACTCCATAAATTAATTAAAAAAAAAACACACAAGTCACCGAAATGGAAGGAAAAACGGAATTGTAATTAGTGTCCCTAAATATTATACCCAAATCAAAGAACCCTAAGAAACGAATTAAACCAAATTTGATACCGGCTGCTAACAGATTTGCCCTAACTTAAAATTAAGAATCCTCAGATAAATAGTGTATTCATTAATTCCCAAACCCTACACTTCTAATTTAATGAATTCGGTCACTTTTTGTATCATAATGATTGATTCGATTTTCGATTTGATTAGAAATTATTTATCTTGTATTTCTTGGCCGTTTGAGGTAATGAAACGTGATTATTTAAATTTGAACTTCTGATTGAAAAATTATCTTTCTTATGAAATAAGCAATATTTTCAGTAAAATTATGAAAATTGATTTAATGTTTTTGATCAAAAATTTAAGTAATGATACAGTTTAAAATTTTAAAAATAAATAAAATTAGAGCCAAACCTCCTGTATATCCAGAAACAATTTATTTGATTTAAAACTATTCTTATCAGAGTCTTCAATGTTATTGAATAAACTAAAAAAGACGTTTCTTTTGCCATTTGCCCATAACTTTCAATCACTGGGACTGACTGGGACAAAGACTTGCTTTGACTCGTATTTCAAGTTTCAATTGAATTTCGAAGAGAAAATTTTTTTCTGTTACAAAATTTTAATTGAAAAAAAAAACGTGTATTTTCAGTCAGCGCAGTAGGAAAAACCAGATGGAGGCTTCGCGTGCGGCCGCGGCGGCCAAACTGCGTCCGATGAAGAGCGGCCACTGCTGCGGCCAGCCGAACGACCCGCACGCCCTGTGGGCCGCGCTCACCACCAAGGGCACCACGGCCCACTACGCGGTGCCCCCAGACCACCGGCTGCACCACGGCGTCGACTTCTGCAGGCCGTCGGCGCCCGCCTTCGGCTACTACGGCGCCCTCGACCCGCGCTTCCCTCCGACCAGCACCAACAAGAGCGAGCCCGGAACGCCCGAATCACAAATCTACGCAGAGATTCCCGACATTAAGGTGCGATTTAAAAGATTTAGGAGAATTCAAAAATTTGGTTTCTATTTGAAGTGATTGGTTGAGTTAATGCAAATCTTGGATAATGTCTTTTTTTAAAGATTAAATTAACAATTAAAATCCTCCTTTTTAATCAATTTCGGTCCGAAATTTATTCATGGATGAATTCCATGTAAAATAATTGTGTTCAAGGGTTTTGCTTTTTTCATGGGAAATGTTGTGTTTTCCCAATTTAAGAAAAATAGGTCTTATTAGATATAATTGGCTAAAAATTTAACAAACAACACATTTCTACCCACCTCAACCTCCACCCGTTTCCCTTTTAAGTATCAGTGTTGAAATCGCATTCGCCAAATTGTTTATTAAAATTGCATAAGGAACATAAACATGTGATACAGAATTGACAATAATTTTGTCCGTAATTTTTTAAGCAAGTAGTTCAAATTTTTATTATTGCTTAAAGTACTATTCAGTTTTATCATAAATTAGATTTACAAATTATAACAAAATTAATTATTTAATATTAATTAGCTATATGACGTTTTGATTAGCATAAAATATATTAATTTAAAAATCAACAGATTGTTTCAATTTTAAAATAAAATGATTTTTTTTTTTTATAAATTATGCGTCATTTTGATCTTGAAAGATTTAGCAACATTCTTGCTGCCAATATGTCAGGTTTTTTGTTGGCACCAATAAAAACTCTGCATTTTGCAATTTTCTGGTTATTTTTGAGAAATATTTCATGCTGCAAGCAATAAAACTATGCCTAGATACATGGCAATTGTTTAAAAATTGAGTATATTGATTTTTTTCAGGAATTTAACAGTTTTGAAGGCACCATATTGCATGAATTACCTTCTCATGATCATGATATTTATCTGTTTTTTATGAAAATAATGGACATTTTGCAAAAAAAAAACATGAAAAATAAAAATAATAATAATAAAACAGAAAAGTTCAGTGCACCGCATTTTCCTAAAAAAAAAAATCGAATATTTCCAAGCCCTGGTTAATTTTTGTCCGAATTTTAGTTTTTCAAACAAATTTATTTTTATGTAATAATTGAACGTAAAAAGCAAATAATAATTTAAAATTTGGGGGCAATATTGCTATGAGAAAATTTTTAGAGTCTCGGATATTAAAGAAATATATTAATAAATACAAATAAAATTATTTTAAATGGATTCATTTTCACATCATCTTTTTGTCCTTTTAACCTGAATAATTCTGTGAATAAATTTGGTTACTTTTTCCACAGCTGGGCAAACTGTCAAGCTTCGACAACACCGCTTTTGAAGACTACGCCTACGAGGACATGCCATCCGAGTCCTTTCCTCTGGCCGAAGTTTCCTTTTCCCGGCAGAGCACCCTGAGCCGCTTCGGCACCGCCAGACCCATGGTTTCGCCCCCGACACGGATCGACGCCCCCAATCTTCCCCCGCTGAACCAAATGAGGCAACGAAACCCTTTGCACATTTAATTACATAATTTTTTTCATTTACATTTTCATTACAAGCCTTTCCGATGCATTTATTTTACTTCGGGCGTAAAACTACGCACGTTTTTTTATTCTGACTGAAGCTTGTAACGATCTTGTGGTGATCAAAATAGAGAAAGCGTGTTTTAATTATAAATAATTTAACACGCGAAACAAAATTAATAATAATTAGTCTTTGTTAATTTTAAGGCTTTTTGCTTGAAGTTATCCAGGGTAATTTTGGAGCAATATATTGGCCAATGGAACTCGCAATGTGAAAAATTTACATAATTATATATCTAGTCATGCTAAATATTATTATGTCAGTAAATAATATACCATAAATGTGTACTAAAATCACAAGTGAATGTTTTCTAGAAAAATTTCACTGACGCACACTCAAAATTCGCCCTGTAAGATTTCCGTTTTCCGATTAAGCCACACTCGGAGAAGAAGAAGAATGAAAGCAATTATCAATTATATTGTATTTGACTCACCTGCGTTGAATTAGTTGTCGTGGAGGCCGAAAAGATTGTGTCAAATTCCTTTACTGCCGTTGAAGCCACTTCCGCCGGCTGCTGTCGGTCGACATGTGGCCGCTTTCGGACCGAATTTCGATCCGCAGGAACACTTGATGCACTATTTACATTATCAGCCATTGCTGAAATCCAAATTTGGCGAGCTGGATAGGTTTTTTCAGTGCAAACACGAGAAATAGCGACGAAGTTGCCAATCAACGCGAATTTGCATGAATCTGCTGGGGAATTTTCTGGATAAATAAACAAAAAAAAGTATTCCTTGCAGCACCAGCGGTGCCACCTGGCGGTGGGAAACGGAAGCAAACAATGGGACTTCAATTTTGTTAGAAAAAATGTGTTTATTTAGTGAATTTAATTTATTGAAAATAAATCACAGCTCTGCAATTCGAAAATAATAATCACAAATAATGTAAAAATAGCAGCTAAATAGGCTTTTCAGTTATAAATTTTATGCTCTCTCCAAGTTGAACCTGCTCTTTGTCTTTTGAAATTTTTGCAGAGGGTGATGATTTGATAAAATTCCCCATTTTTTAGGGCTTGAAAGTGGATGAAATTTGGGCGGTAATTTATTTATTAGAGAGAGCTAAAGGGTTGAGCAAATTTAATTCATGAATAAGAATTCACAAATCCAATTTTCAGCTCTAGTTAATATAGTTAATTTTTTGTTACTTATCTTTTTTAATCTTATTATTTATTTGTCCAATTCCAATAAATTATTTAAATTGAACATCTAATTTAAAAAATGGTGAATTATATGAATTGAAGCCAATTAAATTATCTTTTAAATATTTCAATAGCTTTTTTTTTTGCTGTCAGGGCAAGACAAAGTCTTGTCGGCCTGTGCACTCTTTATTTATGGTGCTGAAAGCACCATCCAATTTTTTTAATATTATTTTTTATAGGATGAACTTTATTAAAATGTTTTTATTTGTTTACCAACAGCCTACTGAAGGATCTAACAACATGCCAATTTTTTTTTTTCAAATTTAACTTTCGATAGCTTTTTGATTGGAATTTATTGTTATGCTTCTGCAGGCAACGAAAAATTTCTGACGAGAATCACTTTGGCCGCAACGACTGCAGGCGAGTCAAATAATCGCTTTTCTTGCTCCTCCGAATGCGAATTATTAAGTGCAATTTAATCAGCCTCTGGAAAGCGGAGTCCGTCATTGTGTCAGTGATCAACTAATTTATGTGAAATAGCAATATTTGTGTGTGAAAAAAGAAATTTGGAGTTAATTTTTCATTGTGATAGTCTTGTCTCAAAATAAAAATATGATTCTTCATTATCTAAGTGGTAAATTATCAAATAAAATTATTTCGATCAATTTTAAGATTTTATTAAACGATCCTTTTCAGGTAAATATTTTTTAATTGGGCATATATATTTGGCTACAGTAAATTGGCGCAAAACTTGTGAGCAAACAGGTAGGAGAAAGCTGAAAGCAGCCAGACGGTTTGCAAAAAGCAACCTGAAATAAATGAATTTCACATTGAGAAAAGAAAAATAATTAGAAAATTATGTGATACTTGTGAGTGAAGCTGCGGACACGGCGTGAATGTGAGTTGAGAGGTCCACGTGCCACATCAGGACGCCCATGCTGGAGGTGCACCTGATTTTCATGGTGTGCAGAAGGTTGTTGAAGAATTTTTTCTTGGCAGCCAACCTGAGGCCCAGCGTGACATATTCGAGGCCCTCTTCGTCAGTGACCGACCTGTACTGCGTCAAAAACGGTCCATCCTTGCTATCTTTCCCTGTCGGGATGATCTAAAATTTGCATGTTCCAAATCAATTTAAGCAGGCGTAGTGTTCGTTGTGTGTTTTGTGTATAATGCAAGCGCGGAACGAGGCAAGAAGTCAAAACATGTCTGAAAATATGCAACCGGCCGAGCACTTTTGCCGAGCGAATTGCATACTTGCACTTTTCAGGGGTTTCTCAATCGAGTTAAAAACTAGACGAAAAAGAGGGTGTATGACTAAAAAGTGTCACGTGTATAAAAAATGAGCATCAAGTTGCTAACCCTACGTTGTGATATGTCGAAATTATCCACCTGATTTCCGTTTATAAACCAATACAGAACTGCTAGAGGTTTTGAGGGGGCTGAGGTACAGTTCAAGTTTATCGGGTCTCCCTCATTGTACTTTTGCCTCAAACCTGTGATTTTCGGCGGGTCTTTCGGCAGCGCTGGAAATTTTTCATATAAATTTCCAATAATTTTAAAAAGCACTCTATTTACCCATGACGTTCATGTGAGCTTCGGCAACTTCTGTCAGAAATTCGGGCGCTTCTGAGGAAACTTCGCACCGGTAAGTTCCGCTGCTATCCAAATCGAGAAGGCGCAGAATAACCTGGTTGTCGTTGCTGCCCTTCAGCTAATCTCACCCAAACAAATTTTGCAAATTTTGAAACACAAACAAAATGAATTTTTTTTTTAATATTAGCGACTTACATCAACAGTAACTCCAGGAAGCGGGAACATTTGTCCCGAGGGCGTATCTGCTGGCACGAATCTGTAGAAAACGGAATTGTCCTTGTACCACTGTACAGAGTAAAGGGTGCCGTTTTGCAGGTCGTAAAAGCACTTGAGGGTGACGTCGCTGGATCTGAGCTTCTGCGACGGGACACGCAGCATGGTCAGTTTCAGGCCACTCGCGACTAATAACGAATCGCAATTTAGACCTTAAAAAAAAGCACCACTTATATACTCACAGTCCAAAAGGGCGAGCAGGGCCAAAAGAAGTTCCACCGCCGTCATATTTCGGAAGTTCAAAGCTCGTCGTTTTTCGGTTTCATTTTTTCTGTGCACTCTTTCCAAATGTTCTTCCAAACTAGGGCAAGCAGTCCCACCGTGCTCGGCCGACTACGATTGATTACCTGCGAGGTGGAGGCGAGAGGCCTTTCAAGTGCCAAGCACCGCGCGGCTAAGACAATAAGGGAGGTGGAAAATTGACGTTGTGTCACAGAGTTGTGCTCAAGTGCGGATTTGGCTAAAGTGACCAGTTAAGCTTCAAATGTGGCTCGCTCTTTATTGTGAAATAATGCACACGATTAATTTGACTTTGTTGATTTTAACAATAGAAAAACAAAAATAAACATAAATGCTACGTTTTATTTAAAATTTGAAAATTATTATGCAATTTATATTATTATAATTTCTTAATTTAAATATATTAATTAAATAATCTTTATTGACTCCCTACGACGTGCGCTATTTGCAACATAGTGCAAAAAAATTTTAAGAAACAAAACACAAATATTACAGATGTATCCTTGACTCTTCCGCGTCTTAAAACTTATGCACACAGACAAAACACCTCAAAATTGCTTCAAACATCCAACAACAAGGCTCTTAACAAATCGAAACAGACAACTTTTTATTCAAAGCAGACAAGCAAGTCAAAGAGTTATGTTTGCAAATTAACAAAGCCCGGGCCCAAACATTCGAATCACTCAAGCCCTTGAATGGTGATCGTGAACTTCACTTGTCCTCTTAATTTTGCATGACTCGAACACAAAAATTAAAAATACTGGAAGAATTTCAAATCGAGAGAAAAGCGTCCTTGCAGGACAAAGCGGCTCAATACTTACATGCCGATCCAATTGTTCCTGTTTGTTATAAAATTAAATTTTAAGTAAAGAGAAAAATAATAAACAAATATTAATGTATTAATGGTAGTAAAATAGAATATTTGCAAACCTTAATAAATTATTTTTATTATTATTATTATATTATAATTTTTTTATTAGTATAATAAATTATTATTATTTTTATCATTAATATTTAAATCTTGTGCATCCATTTATTATCAAGCATAAAACAAATTTTAATAATGTACCAATTTGCGCGGCTTCAGATATCACGCGCGTTTCGTTTCTGTCATTAAATAAAAGACGATTTGTTAATTATTTATATGGATTGCGTTTTTTATTTGGCGTTTTGCACGCGACGATTAATTAACTCACTATATGAGATTCCTTGCTACAGGTGCTGGAGATGAAGCAGTGTTGCTCTTATTTGTGGTATTAATACAAATTTTGAACAGATAGTGTTGGAAAATGACAGAATAGAAAAAAAAATGCGCGCTTTCAATATCTTCAATCATCAAAATGTTATCAGTAACACCTGTCGTTGTCAACTTCAAATAAAAAAGCAATTAATAAAAAAAAAACATAGTTTCACAACTTTCGATTTGGTTTTTATCTCTACCGTAGCAACTTATCTCGGAGCATCGCTCTTGATAAGAGTGATTTTTACATATACGCGACCAGTTTTAGTTTAGTTTGGTTGAACTCCGAGATGATCTCTACTGATGACCACACTCCTCTAGCTCCGAAAGCGAGCAAACTCCGCAGCAGACTCGTCACGCTGCTCATCTCGACGGCGGTCGCGATGCTCGTCTTGCTGGTTGTTCTTTCCTTTTTTGTGCCCGACAGTGCCTCGGAAGAAAACAAACCGCAACGACCTAACATTATTTTCATATTAGCTGATGATTTGGTGAGAAAATTTCAGAAAGCAATCCAAACAATTTGAAATTAATCCATTAATTATATTATTTATTTTGTAATAAATTTTCTGCTCAATTTTTTAATTTTTTTGTTTATAGGTCCGAGGCTTCTTATAATAAAATTGATATAATTATTTTAAAATGATTATAATAAGGATGAAACGACGTTGGATTCCATGGCAGCAATAAATTTTTAACCTTTAATTTTGGCATTATTTTTATATTAATTGGTTGATGACTTGGTTAGAAAAATTACAGAATACAACTCTTTTTTTAAATAATAATTTATTGTAAATTATTAAATCGTGTTTCCTTCATTTTTTAGTTTTCTCAATTATTTTCATTAATTTTTTGTATTAATGAGAGTAGAATTAAAACACTATTATAATTATTTATAATATTTATATTAAATTAATTATAATAGGGATGGAACGACGTCGGATTTCATGGCAGCAATCAACTCTCGACCCCTAATATTGACGCTCTGGCGTATTCAGGGACCATCCTGAACGACTATTACGTGTCGCCCTTATGCACACCTTCCAGGTCAGCCCTGATGACAGGAAAGCATCCAATTCACACAGGTTCTCATTTTTTGTTTCGTTCTGAATTATTTTAATTCGCTTTTGAATTGAAGGGATGCAGCATGAAGTGATTTACGGTTTTGAGCCGTGGGGCTTGGGACTGGAAGAAAAACTTCTGCCTGAGTATTTGAAGGAGTTGCAATACTCGACGCATTTGGTGGGCAAATGGCACTTGGGTCACTTTAAAGAGGAATACACGCCAACATACAGAGGATTTGACTCGCACTTTGGATTTTGGACCGGGCACCAAGACTATTACGACCACTACGCCGAAGAAAATGTAATTATTTGATTTATTTTTTTCTTGTTCATACAAATAAGAAATTGAAAATAAAATCTTTCAATTTTTTATTTTTAAAATATTAAACTTTATTCATAATTCCGCACAATTTTTTTTCACTGCGTTTTTCCTTCTAAAAATCATAATTTCCAGCCTGGTTTTTGGGGTTTCGATATGAGACGTGACATGAACGTGTCGCGGGACACGGTCGGACAATACACAACAACAGTTTTGACTGAGGAGGCGGTCAAGTTGATAGAAAATCACGACACCTCCAACCCAATGTTCTTGATGTTCGCGCACGCGGCGCCCCATGCTGGAAATCCGAGCATTCCTCTGCAGGCGCCTGATGACGTCGTGGCCATGTTTGACGTGGAAAATATTCCTGATGCGAGGAGACAAAAATACGCTGGTATTAAAAAAATAAAAATGGAAAAATTTCATATTACGCATGATTTATTTAAGCGATGGTTTGGCTACTGGACCAATCGGTTGGTGAAGTAATGCGAGCGCTCAAGAATAGAAACATGTTGGAAAACTCGATTGTCATATTTAGCTCCGACAATGGTGGCGCGGCGGCTAATTACAACCGTAATGTGGCGAGTAATTGGCCTTTGCGCGGAGGAAAGGACACGGTGAGGAGATGAAATGTTTTTTTAGAAATATTTTAAATTATTTAAATAAAAAAAATTAAGATTTGGGAGGGTGGCGTGAAAGCAGCTGCCTTTATTTGGAGCCCACTTTTGAATGAAGCCCGAAGGGTCTTCACTGAAATTTGCAGCATTCAGGACTGGCTGCCCACTTTGGTCGAAGCAGTGGGTGGTCCGAAGGTGCCGGGAATCGACGGGAAAAATATTTGGCCCGCGCTACACAATTCGAAACAAAAGACCTACGACGAGATTCTTATTCAAATCGATGACGCCAGAAATATTTCTGCCATTCGGTACAAAAACTACAAATATCTTTCAGGTACTAATTTACTAATTGTAAGCTGTATCAATATTTTATTTGTGATTAAAAAACCAGGCACAACGTGGGGTGGAATATATGACGTGTCCTTAGGTGCCGAAGGAAGAAAGGGAGAGTACGATCTGCAAGCAGTACAAAATAGTAGAGCTGCAAAAGTGATAAAAGAAACCCGATGGCCTCTTCCATCGACGAGTGCAATAGAAAATTTGAGGGGAAAAGCAACCGTAAATTGTGAAAAGGTTGAAATCTGGCATTATTTATTAGTTCATACAAATAAAGTGAATTTTTTTCAGGACGACGACGAATTGATCTGCAAACCGTCAAAAGGCGAAGAATGCTTGTTCGATTTGTCCGTCGACCCGTGCGAATCAATCAATTTGGCTCCAAGCAATCCTCGCATCGTGACAAGACTGAAATATTTGCTTCAATTGCACAACGAATCCGCAGTCGAGCCTCGAAACGCTCCCAGAGATCCTTTGAGCAATCCCAAATTTTGGGATTATGTGTGGACAAATTGGTTGGACTACCCTGCACCACCACACCTCGACTCCCAACTTGTGTTCCCAGATACTCGAGACATGGACATTTTATGAATTTGAAATAAACAAAAAAATACTGAAATGTATTGCACATATTTTTATTGATAGATCTAGCATAATTAATCAAATTTTGTACAAAAATTTCAAGTATGCTTTTTTAAATCTAAAATTTAGCAAAAATCTTTCCATTAATTCGAATAGAAACTGACAGATAGCACCAATAGTCAGTTTGACGGAGAACAAAACAAAATTACTTCTTTAAAATCACTGCTTATGCAACCAGCTGTGCCATGAATTATAATTTAAATTCAAGCTATGCACATTCTCTTTATACAGCCTAGGACGTCATTAAAAATAGAATTCCATAAATAAAAATTATTAAAAAAATGAATTTGGATATAATTTATAAACAAATAATATCGCAATATTGTTCAAACGAAAATATTTTTCTGTATATTCTAATTAAGATCTGGATGCGTAGATCAAACAAAAATCAATAAATTTGAAGTCTGATATTCGCCCAAGAATATGTCATATAAAACAGCAATAAAAATACCGACCATGAGAAATTAAAATTTTTTATCTAGCCAAATTAATGAATATTTACATTTACCAACTTTTTCTGCGCCAATAAAAAGTAAGTTTTGCACAATCGAAATTTGGTATAACTGTATAATTTTATTACGTCAAAACATCACGGCTTGACCTTGCGACTTGCGCGTCGATTCCTGACTTAAGTACTTTTACGAGCAATTGGCTCTTTCAAAGCGGCAATAAAATAACGGAGCCTCATTTTCACGCCCGACCGTGCATTTCGCCGCGGCGAAAACAAAGAGCAATAACTCACCTTGATCGACGGTGGGCCGCTTAAAATTTGCATTGTGTGTTTTTCAAAAGAGCACGTTAATCAGATCAAACGTTGCGTTTTGTCATCGAGGGTCAAGGTCGGGTCGAACGTGCGAGACTCGCGAAATACTTTGCAGAGGCTGCGCTCGTTAAAGTGATCGCGGCTCATCCACAACAATAAAAGGGATCTGTGCAAATAAGACACACAGGCTCGGTGCGTCAGTTGAGCCTTGAGTGCCGTGACCCACATTGTCGGCATTTGACGGAAAAACCGGCGAGAATCAGCTGCAGCATTTCAATGATTGAATCACTTTCAAGATTATTCATTGAATAATTTTTCCTTCCATGTATTTTAATCTTTGTGATCATTTCAGCTCATAAAAATTAAAAATTAAAATAAATTTCTGAAAAAAAATATGCTATTTAAAATCAGTTTCCTTTAAAAAAACTGCGGCTACTCAAAGTTTAAAAAAAATGGGAAAACTTTGCAAAATTTATCCTTTTGAAATATTTTTTTATCGAGCAATTTTCATTACATCTTTATCAAAAATTAGCTGTAACTGTTTAATAATTGTAGTTCATAGTTCATAACGAAATGGTTCTTATTTCCAAGAAAATACTGCACGGTATTAATTAAAGAAGTATCAAATTAAACTATAAACTACAAAGGACAGGATTTATTTTGTGAATTTGGCAACCCGCGTTGTTTGCTCGTCGAACAGGTTTGCCTAAGTGCCAGGCAGTTTTTATTGAGTTGCTTTTAGAACGAGAACCGCAAAAAAAATACAAAAAGTCTCTTCGTGTCTTCCTGGTTCAGTGTGATTTGTGAAAATATTGTAAGCAACTGGTCGCAGAGGTCAAAGGTCCAAGTCGCACCAATCTGTCTGCCGCCGCGAAGTTGCAGGAAACCCCTCCGGCAAGTGGGCAATATTTCAAAAGCAGAAGGATTAGGCCACGTGAATCTCATACATAAATTTGAAATAAATCAAAATTGTGTGTTGTTTTTAACATTAAAAATGCAAGAAACCTTTAAATTGCCTAATTTATCGCCTTCCCTGTCAATCAAAAAGCTGACTATTTTTATAAAAGTTAATTTTGATCTATTTTTAGAACCACAATTGGTTAAAAAATAATTTTTTAATGAACCCGGAAGATTAATTGAAACCGCAAAAATTTCTAGTAGTAAATGTGGTGTCTCACTTGTTGTCCGGACAAGTTTCGATAGCAATGATTTGAAATTGACATTAATTGGACCTAAACGAGTTTCACGCTGGCGTCGCGGCTTCTTTAAAAAAGAACTTGTCTAGTCAACTAAAAAAAAACACACACTTATGCTGTCTGATCCGTTCCTTCCCTTAAAAAGTTAACGCCCATTCGAAATGAGATTAAATCATCAGAAGATTCGCGGACCAAATTATCACACGAATTTGCCGCCACAGAAAAAACATCCTGCGCATTCCAGGCGACCAGCGAGACAAATTTTTCTCGGAACGCCTCTTTTGTTTTCACAGGTGCATGAACTTTTCCTTTTGCTCAATTCGGACGATCCTTGATGCAATTTTGGGAGCAGCACCGTTTCAAGATCAAACGACAAGCACGGGCGACCTTGGATTTCTTTTTTATTTTTGCTATTGCGTGCAAAATTCGAGCGCGACAGTTCTTTGCAGCTGTCAAGTATAAATTCATCGTTTAATATCGAAAAATAATTGCGGTTTGACGTGACCGGTGGGAAGTTCCTTGGTAAAATACTTAAAGTTATTAAAGCCATTTAGAAATTTTATTTATTTATTTTATGTGTCTGCTGTCGAGGCTAATCAAGACTCTTAGCAAATAAGCTGGAGATAAAAATCTTCGTACCGCGGCTAATTTACACGCTATTAAAAATTCAGATTACATTCACGCATTCACAGATTAAGTTTTTTTCCTGTAATTCCAAAACTACAGAGCTAACGAAGGGAATTTTTCTGTTAGATCGACGGATATAAATAAGTTATCATTAATTAATTCCTCATTGCAAATTTTTGAAAATTTTGATGAAATTTTGAAAAGTGATGAAACAATTTACACAAATAAACCAAGAATTATTTTAAAATCTAGTCTGATAATCTTGATAATAATAAATTATTAAAATAAACTTTTTTTAAAATAAACTTTTTTTAAAATAAACTTTAAAAAAATTGATAAATAAATAAATTGCGTATAAACAGTATTAAATTTATAATAAAATATTACTTCAAATTTATTAATTTTTAAAATTAAAATAATAATTGTTTTCCTAAAATGGCATTGTTTATTTTTTAATATATATTTTTCGCAAATTTGTTTAATTTTGAAGACCGTTTAGTCATGATCAGCCAAATATTTCGCCCCATAATAATTTAATTTCAATCTTAAAATTAGGTCATGCACATTCGCCTATATAACTATTGAAAGGCCTATATTAATTAAAATTCTAATTAATTCGCGTCGGCAAAGAAATATCACAATAATGTATGAAATTTTGGCAAATTTATTCTATTTTGAAGCCCGATTATTCATGATCAACCTAATATTTCGCCCAATAATTATTTAATTTCAATCTTAAAATTACGTCATGCAGATTCGCCTATTTAGCCATTGAAAGGCCTTTATTAATATAAATTCTAAATAATTCGCGTCGGCAAAGGAATATAACAATAATATATGAAATTTTCGCAAATTTATTCTATTTTGAAGCCCGATTATTCAAGATCAACCCAATATTTCGCCAAATAATAATTTAATTTCAATCTTTAAATTAGGTCATGCACATTCGCCTATTTAGCCATTGTAAGGCCTTTATTCATATAAATTCAAAATAATTCGAGTCGGCAAAAAAATATAACAATAATATATGAAATTTTCGCAAAATTATTCTATTTTGAAGCCCATTTATTCATGATATGCCCAATATTTTGACCAATAATAATTTAATTTCAATCTTAAAATTAGGTCATGCACATTCGCCTATATAGCCATTGTAAGGCCTATATTCATATAAATTCTAAATAATTCGCGTCGGCAAAGAAATATAACAATAATATATGAAATTTTTGCAAAATTATTCTATTTTGAAGACCGTTTAATCATGATCAACCCAATATTTAACCCAATAATAATTTAATTTCAATCTTAAAATTAGGTCATGCATATTCGCCTATTTAGCCATTGTAAGGCCTTTACTCATTTAAATTCTAAATAATTCGCGTCGGCAAAGAAATTTAACAATAATATATGAAATTTTCCCAAATTTATTCAATTTTGAAGACCGTTTAATCATGATCAGCCCAATATTTCGCCCAATAATAATTTAATTTCAATCTTAAAAATTGGTCATGCACATTCGCCTATATAGCCTTTGAAAGGCCTTTATTCATTTTAATTCTAAATAATTCGCGTCGGCAAAGGTATTTAACAATAATATATGAAATTTTGGCAAATTTAATCTTTTTTGAAGCCCGATAATTCAAGATCAACCCAATATTTCGCCCAATAATAGTTTAATTTCAATCTTAAAATTAGGTCATGCACATTCGCCTATATAGCCATTGTAAGGCCTATATTCATATAAATTCTAAATAATTCGCGTCGGCAAAGAAATATAACAATAATATGTGAAATTTTTGCAAAATTATTCTATTTTGAAGACCGTTTAATCATGATCAGCCCAATATTTCGCACAATAATAATTTAATTTCAATCTTAAAATTTGGTCATGCACATTCGCCTATATAGCCATTGTAAGGCCTATATTCATATAAATTCTAAATAATTCGCGTCGGCAAAGAAATATAACAATAATATGTGAAATTTTTGCAAAATTATTCTATTTTGAAGACCGTTTAATCATGATCAGCCCAATATTTCGCACAATAATAATTTAATTTCAATCTTAAAAATTGGTCATGCACATTCGCCTATATAGCCTTTGAAAGGCCTTTACTCATTTTAATTCTAAATAATTCGCGTCGGCAAAGAAATTTAACAATAATTTATGAAATTTTCTCAAATTTTTTCTATTTTGAAGACCGTTTAATCATGATCAGCTCAATATTTCGCCCAATAATAATTTAATTTCAAACTTAAAATTACGTCATGCACATTCGCCTATTTTGCCATTGTAAGGCCTATATTCATTTAAATTATAAATAATTCACGTCGGCAAAGAAATATACCAATAATATATGAAATTTACGCTAATTTATTCTATTTTGAAGTCCATTTATTCATGACCA